GGGAGGCTGCCGCGGGATCCCATCCCGAGAGAGCAAATCCCCCGCGAGAGGCTGCAAAAGGATTGATGTCAAGGTCGCCCAAAGAGGAGCACTTTCCGCGCCGCGGGCCGATTGGTCCAGGGCGGATCCGTGCCGCCGCCGCCGGCTGCGCCAAACAAACTTAGTCCCCGCCCCCGAATGAAAGTTGTTTTAACTGGATCGGCCCCTGGCAGTCTGCTGCTTTACAAAGCAGAGTGGTTTGGCGCTGCCCGGCCCCTCGCTGCGGCCGATGCTTCTAGGAGCACGTAATGACGGGTCGTGCCGTCTCCAGAGTCGGACTCTGCGAGCTTCACTCATCCCGACGTCGACCGTCTTGTTGCAGAACGGCGGCCGCTCCGGGGCTTCATGAAGATACACAGAACGCCACCGCAGAGGCGGAGGAGGAAGAGGACGGACGACGGCGGGGGCGAGGACGGCGACGAGGACGACAAGGAGGCAGAGGAGCCCCTCACGAACCACCGGGGCTCCACGCCCGTCCTCCACAGCACCCCGCCCATGGCCGGCCACGGCCTGGGCCACCCCATGGGCCACGCTGGTGGCCACCCACTGGGCCACGCAACGCTGCCGTTGGGGCCCAAGGACAATCTACCTATAAACAATGTGAGTTCTGTAGTTTAGAAAGTAGCGCGGTGATGTCTGATATTGAGGCATTTTTGCGCATTTTTGAAATGGCACTTTCTTTTATCCGCACACGTTCACTGACTTTTTCGTATCTCCCTCTCTCTCCAGGTATATATGCAGAACAGTTTTAGTCATAGCAACAACTCGATAGCGCACAAAGGGGTGACGGCCTGTTCGCCGCTGGGTTCAATAGGCCCGCTCGGCCCCCTAGGCTCGCTCGGCCCCGTCCATGCCATGGAGAGGCTCATGATGAACGGCTCGACCAAGGTGACCCTGGCCCACAGCGAGCCCATCACGACGTCGAACCGCATCCAAGAGAGCTGCATCTGATGTGTGATATGGACACGCGTTGTGACAACCTTCCTTCGACTGGTTTACGCGCCTACAGAGAAGTGGGTACCAAAGTCTTCTTTGTAAGGCGTCTCGTTGTTAAGATAATTTTTCTGGTTAGATCTATATTTGTCTTCGAGTACATGTTGTGTGTATTCCTGTGGCCTAACGTTAACGCTACTTACGGCAAAAAAGTTACCTTAAAATTGTTGAATAACCAAATCTCTCGCCAAAGTGAGGAGCAGAAATTTCTAACCGCATAACAAAATTATTTCCTCCTTAAATGATTGTTTAAATTCCTTTCTCAGAGTTGTTTAAAACTCTTTAATGTATTTTTTGCGCTCAAAGCCCAGTGAGTTAGTGACCTGATGTGGTTAATATTTTTGTACAACCTTGCAGAATGTATATTCTATAGTCAAAAATATAACTATGTCTCTAATACTTTTCTGAGAGGTATCCTGCACAAAACTGGTATTCTTACCCGCCAAATTACATAGGGCATCCTATGTGACGTGCAATACCTTAATTTAATTAGCCAGCGAAACTGTTTAGAATGGGTAACTTCTGAATTGCTGATTGTTGCTATGTTTAACAGCGTGAAGCTGGTTAATGCAATGTGATATAACGGTTGTATACACAGGCAAATGGCATTGGCATATGGCATTGACATATGGCATTTGCACCCTTTAGAAACGAAATGCTAAAATTGCAGTTACCACTGAAATGGTCTTTAAATACATTTTATGGATTCACAGAAAAGCTGAAGAACGCGTTGATTTTAATTAATTTACCACAAATAGCGTTAACTATTTTGAGACTGATTACTATTGTACTAATTGCCCTGTAAGTAAACCGCGCCATTACCGAATGTTAGACTTTTGCTTGAATCATTTGTGTTTCAGCTCAATCTATTCTACTGAGCAAAAAATGTTATTTCTACCTTCAACGTAAATAGAATAAGTTTCATTTATTTCCATTGTCGTAGAAAGAAATTTATGTATAAAAAATTCAACCTCTTCTAGGTTCTGAAATATCCGTGTCAGATGAGACACATGGTCCTACTCCGTCATCATTATGTTACCTGCATATTTTTTTGAAATATGTTAAAACTGTGAAAATAATGAATGCATGTGAATGTGTAAATGTGGCTGACTGAGATTCTTCGCTTGTCACGCGTTTCGTTTTTCTATAATTAATTGCCTATGTATTAAAGAGACATAATTGTGCTGATTGCCAGAACTCTTCCTGTGTTTTACTGCACTTGTTGTTAAAAGTTTTGTATTGTAAATAAAAGACCAAAGATATATATTATGTAAAAAGATGCAGTCGTTTATAAATGGAGAGTTATTTCTTTTCCTAACCTCCCCGAATGGAAAGGGAAATGCCGTATATTCCTTTCCCCGCAAGCTACAAAAACGTTTGTACCACCTGCGCACTACTCTTAGTCGAGTCTTGAGTACTATTGGCGCCGCACGTCTGACGACACCCATGGCCTATACACTCGAATCAGAACTCACGCTCACGCCAAACTCATCGCAGCGCAACTCGTGTCGGCGGCGTGGGCTTAAGTGGTCTTCCAGAAAGAAACGCCGGGTTTTCTCAGATTCATTCGCATATAACGAGAGCTCGGCGCCTGCGAGACTCAGGGTAGGCCACCCCAGTACACGCATGCACTGCAGGCAAGATGTTGCCTACCTACCAGGCGCTAGGAGCACTTGCAAAGGGGCTATTTCCGCATTTTAAATTATATTTCAAACTGAGCATACCCTAAAATTATTTTTTGGATTGCCTGCTGCCTACGTCCGGAATTCTGATGCGTTTTGGTGTGTTCCAAAAGTCCCTAAGCGACCACCACCACCCGAGCAAAAGAAGCGGTGGCTTGCAATTTTATCAGGAGTCAAGAAATTGCATCTTTAAAAATTACGTAACGAATAAATTATTAGTTGCCATAACGAGGACTGGTTGGCACAAAACTATTTTTCGAGAGTACAGTGGTATTCTACCGCGCGGCACGCTGGCCTGCCCAGGGCTGTGCGGGCCGGCCGCCCCACCAATCATTCTTTATGTGTGGACATGTGTGTGCGCACACTGCTTTCTATTACCCCACGCGCGGCCGGCAGGCGGGCCGAGGCCCGGCAGGCCGAGGCCCAGCAGGCCGAGGCCCATCCTCCTGCCCCTTCGAGGTCTTCCCCGGAGGAGGGCCTCGGACGCACGTCCCAAATGCGCACGTAGCACGCCCTGGCCCCGGCCAGCTCCCAGCCAGGCAGAGGTCGTCCGTCCAGCGCTCCGGAAGGGGGGCGGCCAGCGTCCTCTACACACGCCCAGCAGCGGCCCGACCAGCCAGCGGCCTCGGCCCGACCGGCGCGGCACGGCGCGAGACATCGGAAATCACGAAGAATGGGTCATCCAAACCGGTTAGCTGGCGCAGCAACGGGGTCCGGCTCGGTATATACACACTAACGGGGCAGGGGCCAGCAGCGACGGGGTGCGGGTTGAAATAAGATGTCCCGATACCGAGACAACCCCACGCTCCGCGGTCACGTGATGGGCCGCGGGACGACACGCGCTCCTCCCGCGAGGCGTCAGAATAATGTCTGTTTGTGGAGTCGGTCGCCAAGAACGCTTCCCCCGTAACAATGTTCCGTCCCCTTTAAATCACTTCCACCCCGTCTCCAATTTATGTGGTTCGCATTTGCCTCTCTGGCATGACGCGCGGGGCCGCATGACAAACGGACGGCTTCCCCGGCGTGCACCTCTCTATCGCGAGAGTGGCGGGCGGCTGAGTTACGGACCGCGGGCGGGGCGCACTTCTTGTCGCTACCGTCGCATCATACAGGGTTACCGCCATCCCGTCGTAGGCGTGGGTTACTCGGTGGACGTTTCACAAAAAAAAAGAAGGATGAAATCTCGACTATAACAGACACACGTACCCCGATGTGGTCGCTTGACTACACTCGGCGTCAAGTGAGGGTTGGGTCGTAATGTCGGGCCAGCGATCCGGCACATGGAGTCTAGTTAGTTACTCACACGTTCAAAGGTAGGTAACATTCTCGTTGCCACAACGTTAGGGTACATGATCAATCCCTACCTTTAAAGGGCACTAAATGTGACATTTCACACATTTAGCTGGCTAGTTTCATTTGAGTTCCATACAAGTTGGAAAGGCACGAAACTTTAATGCCCCAGGAAAGGCACTAAACTGGGCCCTTGACTTTAGTGCCCCAGAAAAGGTGTTGTTTAGTGCCTTTGTTTTTCCAGTGATAAGTGTTACAGTAAGGACCTTTGCCAGAGATCGCTTTGAACACCACCGCACAACAGGCGGAAAGGTGTCGTCCCGGCCTCTTTGCGTTAGGGCTCCCACGCGTTGGGGACGAAAGAAGAAAAACAAGGGAATACAAAAGTGTCTAATCAGATGCGCGCTGAAAGCAGCACGGGGGCCCGCGTTGGAGCGGCGCGGCCCCGCCAGCACAGCTCCGCACAGCTCGGCGGGGACACCAGGTGCGTAGGGGGCCCGGGGGAGCCGGGGCGAGTGGGCGGGGGTGGGGGGACAGAGTGAGCCACATGTGCCCGCTGTCTCTGCTTTAATAAGGGCCCCCCTGGTCTGGAGGCCCGGGACGGCCCGGCTCGGCTAGAGCAATGGGGCACAACGGCGAATGCAGGCTTGCCGAGACGATCACTGGCGCGTTATGGCAGCCATTTCAGTAGAGTATAGTACCCGCCTCCCGCCTAGCTGTAATTTCCGAGGACGAGATTGTATTTCTACGTCCATCCTATTTCCGTTTGTTCTGTTTTGGTTTTGTTCAGCAGACGTTGTCGTACGTCAACACTCGTTCCCCAGGGGGAAGAGGTGGAGGGGTGGGGGATGATCGTGGGCTGGTCTAAAGGGGCAAGTTGAGGATTTGAGGATGTTTGAGGTAGTGGAGTAGATAGTTGTAGGCTCAGGCAAAGCCCGGTGCCCTAATTTTCTCCGTCGTAATCTTGCTAATCTTCTTTCCTCATTCTCTCCTCGGCATTCCATCTTCCCTCCCAGTCCCTCCCCCTCAGCCCTCGGGGCTTGCTCTTGAGCGCAATCATCGACCTTGTCCCGCCGTGACACGGGTAAGCCCCGCAGCGCGCCCCTCTGGGTGGGGCGGGCCCCTCTCGGCTCTACGCCGCACCGGTTCATCGTGCACCTCGCCCTCCACCCGACGGGGCCGGCTCGACACGCACCTCCAGCTGGAGTCCACCCAGCTGAGCATCAGCCCTCACAGCTTGCAGCCGGGCCAGGCTTTACAGTCTTAATCTTTGTGCCACGCCTCCCTCCGACAGAGGGGCTCAAGAACAGCCGAATATGACAACTAGACAAAATCCT